ACCCTAACCCCTTTCCCTCCCTCCCCCTCTTCCCGATCCACCCCACTTCCTCCTCCCCCCTTTTAGTATCCGCCTCTGTATTGCCGGCGCTGAAGGGAGATGATCAGATGTCATGGTTGCATTGCCAGAGTGAAAGAGGATGGGTAAGGGACTCACTGAACCATACATAGACCTGAAAGGAGGAGAGCATCTTCTTAACTTTGCAGCGATATCGTTAACTTGTTTATTCCTTGGAAGGATTTTTGTACTCGATTTCGTACCTTCTCGTAAAAGTTGTTGGTTTGATATTTCTGTAATTCGGGGTTTTCATACATCTTCGTAATTGTTTGTTGGTTAATTTAATATTGCTACCATTCTTGTTTACAGGATGTGATATGTAAACTAATGATATTACAGTAAACAGTGACTTTGTTAAGGGTCAAGTTAGTAGGCGAGAGTTAACACACACACACACACACACACACACATAATTCGTCCCACAACATGGAGGACCCCCACCCCCACAGTACCACAACCCCACAGCATATACCGACCCCCCCCTGCCCCCTCGCCTCAACACAGCCACATCGTCTGACACAAAAGGCGTAAGAACCTTGTTTATAACTTGGTGCTCCAGTGTGAGAATTAATGGTGGAAGTTGGTCACAAGACATGGTGTGTGTGTGTGTGTGGGCGTTATATTTTGGTCGCCATGTTTTGGTGGTTTGTCGGCCGCTGTTGGAAGGGGAGGAGGTTAGTGTGAGGATATGGAACGGCCTGACTTATCCTATCTTATCCTAACCTAAATTAATCTAAACTAAAGCTATCCACACGTCATCCACATCACCTTACAATACACTAACCAGATGTAACGATACGGTACTTGGGTGACTTTGGTTAAGTTAAATCTTGGCTACTTGGACTCGCCGCCTGCTTTCAGTAACTAACATTATGACTCATGGTTCAGTTATTATGGCCGTGGTACATTTGTTAACATTATTCACCCTCCAAATGTAATAAGAGTATCGTAATAAATAATGTTTGGTGTCCTGATATGATTCTTTTAAACCAGGTCTGACTGTAATGTTCTGATGTTATCGTTTCTATGGTGACGTTCAGGGAATATTACAGTGTTGTGGGGGGGGGTAAACATTGACAGTTAATTGCGTGATACAGAGAACATGTGATTAAGGAATATAAAAGAGAGATTATTTTTTGTTTTAATAATTTTATGCAAGTTCACTCGTACATAAAAATAAATAATATGTATTGAAATAGAGGGGTGGGAGAGTAAAATATAGGGCCGTGGAAGGGGTTTGACAGTTTACCATAGTGACTCCTTGCAGCCATCAGAGAGAACGAAGGGGCCACTACAGCCTGACGCCACTCTCTTGCTAGACTACCCATATTCTACGTCGAATTTGAGGCAAGTTACACGAGAAATCCATTATTGGCGGCCCTTGTGTGATATTATACTCCTGGACATTTGAAAGAGAGATTTTAGTCAATGTGAAATTCTATTCTGAATAAAGAAAAATGTATCAGAAGTGAGAGAGTGTGTTTGGCAGATTGCGATTTCATGTTTCTTATTGTTTTGTTTTTTCCTTTGACTTTGTCGTGTTTAGATGTGAATTTATATAATACGGTCATGATTTTATGGGAATATATATATTATATAAATTAGCTGTATTGAAATTTGTGACAATAATAACGACGAAATAGGAATAACGAGAAGAGGCGTCTCGAATAATAATAATAATAATAATAATAATAATAATAATAATAATAATAATAATAATAACTATAATAATAACAATAATCGCCTGTTTCAGTAATACGTCCTCCCATAATAACTATTATAAATGTTTATGATAATTACCAAGACAAACATATATACAGCGCCGTGGTCCCTGTAGCAACATAAACTCTGTTATTGGTACTATGTTGCAGTAAGTATGGCCAGTGTCCCGTAATAACTCTCACCACATTACTCTCATTAATTATCACTTTCACTGCCTCCCCTTCATCACTCTCACCACCTTCCTCCTCCTCACTCTCGCCCCCTCCCCCTCATCACTTTCACCACCTTCCTCCTCATCACTCTCACCCCCTCCCCTCATCACTTTCACCACCTTTCCCTCATCCTCTCCTCCCCCCTCATCATTCTCACCCCGTTACCCTCACCACTCTCACCCCCTTCCCCTCTCACTCTCGCCCCCCTCATCATTCTCACCCCTTCCCCCTCATCACTCTCACCCCCTTCCCCTCATCACTCTCACCCCCTTCCCCCTCATCCCTCTCACACCCCGTTCCCCTCATCCCTCTCACCCCCTTCCCCCTCATCACTCCTCTCCTTACCCATCATCACTCACTACTTGATTCATCACTCTCCTCTCTCTCTCCATCTCCCCTCTCCTCCCTTATCTCCCTCTCCTCCCCTTATCTCCCCTATCTCCCTCTCCTCCCTTATCTCCCTCTCCTCCCTTATCTCCCCTCTCTCCCTTATCTCCCCTCTCCTCCATATCTCCCTCTATCTCCTCTCTCCCTCTCTCCCTCTATCTCCCTCTCCTCCCTTATCTCCCTCTCCTCCCTTATCTCCCTCTCCTCCCTTATCTCCCTCTCCTCCCTTATCTCCTCTCTCTCCCTTATTGTCCCCCCCAGCATCGTCGTGTTGACACTGGCGGAGACGAGTTATGGCAAGTGATGCCCTGGTGAGTGGGTGGGTGGGTGGGTGGAGTGGTGACTGCGTAGGGGTGGGTGACTGCGTGGTGTGTAACTGCTGGGTGCTGGGTGACTGCGTGGGTGGGTGACTGCGTGGTGACGCTGCGTGGGAGGGTGGGTGCGTGTAACTGCGTGGTGCCTGGGTGACTGCGTGGGTGGGTGACTGCGTGGTGACTGCGTGGGAGGTGGGTGACTGCGTAGGAGGTGGGTGTGCGTGGGTGCGTAACTGCGTGGGTGCCTGGGTGACTGTGGTAGGTGGGTGACTGCGTGGGGCTGGTGGGAGGTGGGTGACTGCGTGGGTGACTGCGTGGGAGGGTGGGTGACTGACTGCGTGGGAGGTGGGTGACTGCGTGGGAGGTGGGTGACTGCGGTGGGTGACTGCGTGGAGTGGGTGGTGGGGAGGGGTGTGTGACTGGGTGGGTGCCTGGGTGACTGCGTGGGAGGGTGGATGACTGGGTGGGAGGGTGGGTGACTGTGTGGGAGGGTGGGTGGGTGACTGCGTGGGAGGGTGGGTATTTGGGTGAGTTTGTGGGTGGGAGAGTACACTTGTGGTTGATTGCATTGATGAAAGGATGGGTGCTTGACTGGGTGTGTTTGTGGGTGACTGGGTGGGTTTGAGGGTGATGGCTGGAAGGGTGTTTTTGTTTTTGACTGGTTGGATAGGAGGGTGGGCGGGTGTTTGATGGTTTTGGTGGGTGTTTGAGAGGATCAGAGGATGAGTGGATGGAAGGGTACTTGTGTGGATGGGTGTGTGGATGGGTGTGTGGCTGGGTAGGGCCGTGGGTGGAAGGTTGACTCAGCCCTTCTGCGACACCAATGACTTGACACTCCGCATGTTTATACGAGTATATATATATTTCTCTGCTGCAACAGGTAAGGAATTCAAACATGTATACCTTAATTAGGCCGATATACAAGGCAATGACTATTAACAGTTCAGGTAATTAATTCTTCACTACTAACTGAGTCAACAGTTGGCAGCCACCAGGGCCGCTACACCTGCCGCTCACCTGCCAACAACACACCTTCATGGTATTTCTTTTGTCAAGTTGTATTTAAAGTCTCACCTGTATGACTAACCCCCCCCACCCCACCACCCCCCTCTCCGCTGTTACACGGTATTCCAATGTTTTTTGGAAGGTTTTTATTATTACTATTATTATTATTATTATTATTATTATTATTATTACTATTATTATTATTATTATTATTATTATTATTATTATTATTATTATTATTATTATTATTATTATTATTATTATTATATTCTTCCTATATACCACTTATTCATTCACTGTGAACGACACACACAAACATATAATCATTTCATTCTCATATTAATTTAAAATCTAATAATTTAATTTAATTAGTATATTCCTAAGCATTAGATGTACAGTACAGCCCTACGTATGTTGTCAAGAGTTCATGATACAATTCTGAAAAATTGCTTGAACCTTTTAAAGTGCCTTGTTATAGTTAGCTCTGGTTACTGTGGTGATTACCTTACCAAATTGAGGAGAAATGCACATAAAGGTAGTTGAGAATTACCCCCAAAATATTATGAGATGTGTTGGGATGTGTGGAATGTGTAGATGACCTGTTGTGCGTAATATTACTACATGGACTGCTACTACTAACGTACTACTACTACTATGACGTGTACACATCCCCACCATCCTATACCTTCAGATGTCGTCACAGGAAAAAAAAATCATTGTGTATCTTCGCTTTAACTGTGTTACAATGTTGTTAGAGCCATCAAATAACACCCAAGACGTCGTACAGTTAGCGAAGAAAAGAAGGGAGAAAAAAAAAGTCATGACTAACGACGACCATAGATCCATCAACAACATGGGCCACTTCCTCTGTTATTGTAGCCGACGGGCCCCACCATTGAAACACACAGCAGGACTTCCTCGTTCCTCCCGCCATCTCCCTCTTGCTTCACATCCGCTATTATGCCGCCTCTCCTCCTCCTCCTCTCCTCCCATACAACATACCATCAAACATCCCACAGCTTTTTCCCTCCTTCCCCTACGCCTCACAACACTCCACCGGACCAACACGCCGCGACGCCAACATTCACTTGGGGGTAGTAGGAGGGGGATAGTAAGTTTCTTATCTCTGCACTACTTGTTTTTGGCAATTGGTCCCCCTACACAATGCCGCCGTCCTCTCCCCTGCCCCACGCTAAAACTAAGTTCAGGCCTAACTGGACTCCTCCGACAATGGGTACTTTCCAGCAGACATCCCAGCTATTCGCCAGACTGTCTCCTTCACCAAAAGGCTCCTCTCATACGAATGGCCGTGTCTGAGAGACGGCCCATTCCACCAGATGGACCCTTCCACCAGACGGTCTCTTTACACCAGACGGTTCCTTCCTTCAGACGGTCCCTTCCACAAGACGGCCCCTTCCACCAGACGGCCCCTTCCTTCAGACGGCCCCTTTCACCAGATGGACGATGGACCCTTCCACCAGACGGTCTCTTTACACCAGACGTTCTCCTTCCTTCAAGGTCCCTTCCACCAGACGGCCCCTTCCACAAGAAGGCCCCTTCCACCAGACGGCCCCTTCCACCAGACGGCCCCTTCCACAAGACGGCCCTTCCACCAGACGGCCCCTTCCTTCAGACGGCCCCTTCCTTCAGACGGCCCCTTCCTTCAGACGGCCCCTTCACCAGACGGTCCCTTCCACCAGACGGTCCCTTCCACCAGACGGCCCCTTCCACCAGAGGCCCTTCCACCAGACGGCCTCATCCACCAGACGCCCCCATCCACCAGACGGCCCCTTCCACCAGACGGCCCCATCCACCCAGACCGCCCCTTCCACAGACGGTCCTTCCACCAGACGGCCCTTCCACCAGACGGCCCCTTCCACCAGACGGCCCCTTCCACCAGACGGCCCCATCCACCAGACCGCCCTTCCACCAGACGGCCCCTTCCACCAGACGGCCCCATCCACCAGACGCCCCCATCCACCAGACGGCCCCTTCCACCAGACGGCCCCATCCACCAGACGCCCCCATCCACCAGACGCCCCCATCCACCGACGCCCCATCCACCAGACGGCCCTTCACCAGACGGCCCCATCCACCAGACGGCCCCATCCACCAGACGGCCCCATCCACCAGACCGCCCCTTCCACCAGACGGTCCTTCCACCAGACGGCCCCTTCCACCAGACGCCCCATCCACCAGACGCCCCCATCCACCGCAGACCCCATCCACCAGACAGACGGCCCCATCCACCAGACGGCCCCATCCACCAGACGGCCCCTTCCACCAGACGCCCCCATCCACCAGACCGCCCTTCCACCAGACCGCCCCTTCCACCAGACGGTCCTTCCACCAACGGTCCCTTCCACCAGACGGCCCCATCCACCAGACGGGCCCCATCCACCAGACGCCCCCATCCACCAGACGGCCCCATCCACCAGACGCCCATCCACCAGACGCCCCATCCACCAGACGCCCCCATCCACCAGACGGCCCCATCCACCAGACGCCCCATCCACCAGACGCCCCCATCCACCAGACGGCCCCATCCACCAGACGCCCCCATCCACCAGACGGCCCCATCCACCAGACGCCCCATCCAGCAGACGCCCCATCCACCAGACGCCCCCATCCACCAGACGCCCCCATCCACCAGACGGCCCCATCCACCAGACGCCCCCATCCACCAGACGGCCCCATCCACCAGACGCCCCCATCCACCAGACGGCCCCATCCACCAGACCGCCCCTTCCACCAGACGGCCCCATCCACCAGACGCCCCCATCCACCAGACGCCCCCATCCACCAGACGGCCCCTTCAACCAGACCGCCCCTTCCCCACCAGACGGCCCTTCCCACCAGACGGCCCCATCCACCAGACGCCCCCATCCACCAGACGGCCCTTCCACCAGACGGCCCCATCCACCAGACGCCCCCATCCACCAGACGCCCCCATCCACCAGACGCCCATCCACCAGACGGCCCCTTCCACCCAGACGGCCCCATCCACCAGACGGCCCCATCCACCAGACCGCCCCTTCCACCAGACGGTCCTTCCACCAGACGGCCCCTTCCACCAGACGCCCCCATCCACCAGACGCCCCCATCCACCAGACGCCCCCATCCACCCAGACGGCCCCATCCACCAGACGGCCCCATCCACCAGACGGCCCCTTCCACCAGACGCCCCCATCCACCAGACCGCCCCTTCCACCAGACCGCCCTTCCACCAGACGGTCCCTTCCACCAGACCGGCCCCATCCACCAGACGGCCCCATCCACCAGACGCCCCCATCCACCAGACGCCCCCATCCACCAGACGGCCCCATCCACCAGACGCCCCCATCCACCAGACGCCCCCATCCACCAGACCGCCCTTCCACCAGACGGCCCCATCCACCAGACCGCCCCTTCCACCAGACGCCCCCATCCACCAGACCGCCCCTTCCACCAGACGGCCCCATCCACCAGACCGCCCCTTCCACCAGACGCCCCCATCCACCAGACGCCCCCATCCACCAGACGCCCCCATCCACCAGACGCCCCCATCCACCAGACCGCCCCTTCCACCAGACGCCCTCATCCACCAGACCGCCCCTTCCACCAGACGGTCCTTCCACCAGACGGCCCCTTCCACCAGACGCCCCCATCCACCAGACCGCCCTTCCACCAGACGCCTCATCCACCAGACTGCCCCTTCCACCAGACGGTCCCTTCCACCAGACGCCCCTTCCACCAGACGCCCCATCCACCAGACTGTCCCTTCCACCAGACGGTCCCTTCCACCAGACGGCCCCTTCCACCAGACATCAGCTCCACCAAACACTCCCTTTACACCAAACTGTATTTCTAATAAACAATCCCTTTATCAGACCAACCCTCTACCTAAGGGCTCCTCCTCTCCACTAAGCCACCCTTTCATGAAATTCTGCCTCCCTCCTCTCCACCTCCTCTCCCTTCCTCTTCCCTCCCTTCCTCTTCCCTCCCTCCTCTTCTCTCCCCTTCTCTTCCCTCTCTTCCTCCTCTTCCCCTTTCTCTTCCCCTCTCCTCCTCCTCCTCTCCTCTCCTCTTACTCCGTATCTGTAATATTCTTGCTTAATAAATGTTCAATTGCAATAATTTTTCCTCGACAGGAAATACCCACCAAACAACAAATCCCAAAAACAAAAACTACTGAAAACCAAATCCTAGCCTCCAAAATTCTCATTTGATAAAATCCCTCAAAACCCCTAAAGAACCCCCACCCCACAAAAATTAAAAAAACACCCTCTCCCATACCACAAGGCCCTACTTCTCTGCCCCGTCAGAAGCGATGTCTAGATGGTGGGGTATTAGGACGTCTCCGAGCTGGATGCTGTCAGCCTTAAGCTACGGGGAGCGGCATGGCTCTAACACCCCTCCCCAACATTCACCACCCCTCCCCACTCCACCCCACCCATTTCCCCACTCCCACCACCCATCCCCTACTCCCACCCACCCATCCCTACTCCCACCACCCATCCCTGACCCCACCACCCTCTCCTTATCCCCATCCTGATTTTTGGTGTATGTGTTTTTCCCTTAAGAGACCCGGAGATTTAGGAGTCTGAATTCTCAATGCTACTACGTTGAATTTAAGTCTGTTTAATCTGATACCTGAGAACACATTTAACTGGTTGACATCTTAGCTATGACGCAATGATGGCCAAGATGATGTCGATTTGGTTCGAGGACCTGACTTAATACTTAAGCTGTACATCATGCAGAAGGGTAAATGACTTGAAATTGAACTAAGACTTTATATCAGTAAAGGGGCAAACGTATGTATAGTTAAGGTAGAGTCTGCAGTAATTTTAACACCATTTTGGATGAAGTTTTAGAACTTTAGCGTGAGTCCCGCCAGCTAGATGTGTTATTGTGTCTCCAGTTATGAGGAAAATTTAACATAAGAACTCTTGAGAATTTCGTTCGAGGGCAGCTTGAGGCAGAGTGCCCTCCCCGCCCGGTGTGGCCTCCATTGGTCCAAACACCCGTTGTATGATCTCCCTCACCCCTATGTGGTCCCTTGTATGGCCCCTGCTCACCCCATGGTCCCTGTGTGGCCCTGCTCACCCCATGTGGTCCCGTGTGGCCCTGCCCACCACGGTCCCTTGTGTGGCCCTGCTCACCCCATGTGGTCCTTTGTGTGGCCCTGCCCACCCATGTGGTCCCTGGTTGGCCCCACCCACCCCATGTGTCCTTGTGTGGCCTGCCCACCCTTGTGGTCCCTTGTGTTGCCCCACCACCCCCATGTGGTCCCGTGGCCCTGCCACCCCCATGCCCCTGTGTGTGGCCTTGCTCACCCCATGTGGGCCCTCCTGTGACCACGCTCACCCTCATGTGGCTCCTGTGTGGCCCTATCTGCCTCATGTGGCTCCCTGTGTGGTGTGTTTTATTTTCCAGTTTTTATTGAGTCGCATGTTAGCTGCTTGTGTTGAAGATTGTGTATAGTATTGTTGTGTGTGTGTGTGTGTGTGTGTGTGTGTGTGTGTGTAATATGATGCATCATTTTCATAATAACGTTTCAGTTATTGCTAAAGGGCTCAAATATTTTCTGCGCGATGAACATTGTTTCCAACTGTTACTACCATACACAACACGCTGTCCCATCGGAGTCATTATTTCACCACCACCACTAATACCACTACAACCACCACCACCACCAACCAATCCTACTACTCCACCATCACTGACGCCATAATTATTGATGGTAAGACCACTACCACCGTTGCCACTATCAAGCTGCAGCAAAAATCAATAGCTACCGTTGTCTTAATAACCACCAATAGCACCACTGTTATCCCTGTTGACTCAGACAATGGACAGGTGAGACAAAGATCTTATTGCCCGTAAACATAGACAGCCAGACAGCAGAAGACGAGTGTCCACATACAAAAAAGTAAAATAAGTTGCCTATGGTCAGAAATAGATGAACCTTTAATAGAAAAAATATAAAATCAATTTGGAAGTCACTGAGAATAAGAGGATAAAGTCTTCAAAAAATCGATAAACAAAGGAGAATTTTCTCACAAATCACTCTAGATTCTAGTTCCTCATGAGTCACTCTAGAAGAAGTTCCACGAGTCACCAAGAAGTACCTCATTAGCCACGCTGGAAAGATAATTTGTGAGGAATGGATTCAAACACCAAGACAAAACATCAGAAAAAAGGGCTTCCAGGAGGCATTGTGGACACGGAAGATGATGATGAAAATGACGATGAAAATGAGAATGAAAATTATAAAGAAAAATGATGATGAAAATGATGATGATGATGAAGAAGGCAGCGGAAAAAGGAATACACCAAACAGCAGCCTTAAGTCTTACCTCTGAAAGAAGTTGGGAACACAGTCTTGAGCGGCCCAAGGATTTTTAGTGTAGAAGAAAGATCTGATTGTGTACTGAGAGCAACATGAGAGCGTTGATTTCCCAGAGCAAGAGGAGGAGAAACTGGTGAAAAATATGAACCACATGAACATTAGACTCCTCTTAGTTTAATCCACGTAAGATTTGACCACTACTGCTAATCCAACTAACCTAACCTCTTAGTTTAATCCACGTAAGATTTGACCACTAACGCTAAGTTAATGCAAACTAACCTAACTTAGTCAAACCAAACTTAACCAAGCCAAATCTAGTCGCACTTCGCCTCTACCCACATCCACCAGTTAATTACCTCAATCACTGGAGAAATAAACTGTTACGGACACAACCTCAAAACAGTTACGGACACAACCTCAAATTATTACGGACACAACCTCAAATTATTACGGACACAACCTCATAAACTGTTACGGACTCGACCTTAAATTATTACGGACACAACCTCACTGGGTGGTACTGGTCAGCGATTAGTTGTGGCGGCAATAATCAGTGGGGACTTTTTTACTGTTTACACAGAAGCAAAATTAAAAATGCTAATGAGAAAAATATCGAGAGTATGAACTTTTAATATTAATAAAAAAAAATACACGATATTAAAAACAGGATCAGGGAATTGTGATATGACCAGAGGGAGTGCTGGTGTTGAGGGCTGTGGGCTGGTGTTGAGGGCTGTGGGCTGGTGTTGAGGGCTGTGGGCTGGTGTTGAGGGCTGTGGGCTGGTGGGGACTGCAGGCTGGTGTTGGGGCTGCAGGCTGGTGTTGAGGCTGCAGGCTGGTGTTGGGGCTGCAGGCTGGTGTTGAGGCTGTGGGCTGGTGTTGGGGCTGCAGGCTGGTGTTGAGGCTGTGGGCTGGTGTTGGGGCTGCAGGCTGGTGTTGAGGCTGCAGGCTGGTGTTGGGGGCTGCGGGCTGGTGTTGAGGCTGCGAGGCTGGTGTTGAGGGCTGTGGGCTGGTGTTGAGGCTGCGGGCTGGTGTTGAGAGGGCTGCGGGCTGGTGTTAGGGCTGCAGGCTGGTGTTGAGGGCTGTGGAGTGTAAACGCTACCGTGTTGTGTTCTCTTAGTACTGATGTAATATGTATAAAGGAACGAAGGAATATGTGATAATAATAATTGATAAAGTTAATAAGGAAAATGTATTGTGTGGAGTGAAGTGAAATAGGTAAAAATATATATCCAGATTATGTTAAATTAATTCAGGTAAATTTCTAGTTTAATTTGTGTGGTTTGGTAGAAGAAAAAAAAACTGAAGAACATTGAGATGAACTAACGAGATGATTGTTTTGATTGTCTTCGTCTTCTGATTGTTTTGATTGTCTTCGTCTCCTGATTGTTTATGATATGTTTTTGTTTTGTTATTAAGTTTCCAGCTTGGGGGTTTTTTTTACGTTTTTTATATTGATTAGTTGTTCTAAATTAATTATTCTTCATGCGATTTTTTTTCTTTGTTGTTGAAGTTTTGATACTTTTTCTGGTTAAAATTTCCTGGATTTTTTTTTTTATTTTTGATCCGTGTATATTTATTTTTTCTCTAAAGTTTCCCCTTAAGGTCAGGTCAACATTGGGGGTGAGGGTCCTGTGTGTTGAGTGTTATGTCAGGTATGGCAAGATCTTTGTTAATAATGTACTCGTATAATATACCTGTTCGTTTTCTGCTGTCTCTCTTAATCGTGGTTCTGTTGTTGGTGTCTCTTTGCTCCTCTTTTTTCTTCTCCTCCTCCTCCTCTTCCTCCTCCTCCTCCTCCTTCTGTATTTCCTGCTTTTGCTGTTACTATGTCCTCCTCTTCCTCTTCTGCTGTTCCTGCCTCCTCCTCCTACCTGCTTCTGCTGTTCCTCCCTCCTCCTGCTTCTGCTATTCCCTGTCTCCTCCCTGCTTCTGCTGTTCCTGCCTCCTCCTGTTTCTGCTGTTCCTTCATCCTCATTCTTCCTGCTTCTGCTGTTCCTGCCTCCTCTCTTCCTGCTTCTGCTGCTCCTGCCTCCTCCTCTTCCTTCTTCTGCTGCTCCTTCTTCCTCTCTTCCTGCTTCTGATGTTTCCTCCCTCTTCCTGCTTCTGCTGCTCCCCTCCTCCCTCTTCCTTCTTCTGCTGCTCCTTCTTCCTCCTCTTCCTGCTTCTGATGTTCCTCCCTCTTCCTGCTTCTGCTGATCCCTTCCTCCTGCTTCTGCTGTTCCTGCCTCCTCCTGCTGTTCCTTCATCCTCATTCTTCCTGCTTCTGCTGTTCCTGCCTCCTCCTCTTCCTTCTTCTGCTGTTCCTGCCTCCTCCTCTCCTCCTCCTCCTGCTTCTGCTGTTCCCCTCCTCCTCCTCCTCCTTCTGCTGTTTCCTGCCTCCTCCTCCTCCCCTTCTTCCTCCTCCTCACAGCACTGCAGAGTCCCGAGCCACCTAACTGCCCTTGTCTAATCACTTGACAGTAGCGAGTGTGAATAGTTCTGGCAATTAGCGACCGGGAGGAGGTGTTCCGTGACCACTTGCCTCTACAACAGCTCGTTAATCCTGCCCGGCGGCCATTAAAAGGTCCCTGTTGACGCCTCCCGCAAGCGGTGGTGCGGCCAACTGGATGTGGTTTTATGATAATGGTGGTAGGTGTGACGTCCGCATGCGGTGATGTGACTAGCTGGTGGGTGGTGGTGCGATATTGGATGGGCGATGGGACGTCCGCATGCGGTGGTGTTGATGCTGTCATCTGTAGGTACTAGATTAATGGCTAGCACAGGAGTTTCGATGAAAAGTACATTATTTAATAAAGTACATGGTGCCCGTTTGACATACTCTTCTTAAACCTAACCTAACCTAACCTAACCATACCTTACCTTACCTTACGAAACTTAACCTAACCTCGTTAAATCTACCTAACTTACCAGTCGACGCTATAATCTGCTGTTTTCATCTTCACTTGTCCTGGATCTCTGTAGGAAGTTGTTATGGTTATATCAGCAATATTTGTGGTTACTTCAGTAGTATGTTGTGGTTATTTCAGCGGCATGTTGTGGTTATTTCAGCAGCATGTTGTGTTATTTCAGCATTATGTTGTGGCTATTTCAGCAGTATGTTGTGGTTATTTCAGCACGTATGTTGTGTTTATTTCGGCAGCATATTGTGGTTATTTCAGCAGCATGTTGTGGTTATTTCAGCAGCATGTTGTGGTTATTTCAGCAATATGTTGTGGTTATTTCAGCAGCATATTGTGGCTATTCGTATGTTGTGGTTATTTCAGCAATATGTCTTGGTTATTTCAGCAGTATGTCGTGGTTATTTCAGCAGCATGTTGTGGTTATTTCAGCAGCATGTTGTGGTTATTTCAGCAATATGTTGTGGTTATTTCAGCAGTATATTGTGGCTATTTCAGTAGTATGTTGTGGTTATTTCAGCAATATGTCGTGGTTATTTCAGCAGTATGTCGTGGTTATTTCAGCAGTATGTCGTGGTTATTTCAGCAGTATGTTGTGGTTATTTCAACAGTATGTTGTGTTTATTCGTACAGAATTCCGTGGTTATTCTAGCAACATATCATGGTTACATCAGTAGTCTGTTGCAGATTTTCCAATGTGTCGTAGTTAATCATATAAATATTAATAGTGTTTTCAGTGTCGGATTTTAGTGTTTACATCACGTACTCCAATATGTTCACATATACTCTCTCGTTTACCCGACATATTCTGAATTCATGTATACAAGATATACACCACTGTCCTGTCTCTCATACATAAACAGGTAAACATGGTACCTGAGTTCTGCCCGGCTCATGTCTACAGTTTGTTACGTTTTTTGCGGAATCGGTTATTTTACACCGTAAATTTGCGAAATAACTTACAGATAGACAGCCTAACCTAACTAACCTTATGGTTAGGTTAGTTAGATTAAAAGTTAGGTTAGGGTTAGGTTAGGATGGCTCGTGTAGATTGATACACAGTTAAAGTCCTATTCTTTTTTTACTTTGGTTAGCCTGTTTGTAAATTATTTTGCAAATTATCAATATACATGCCGGAAATTTTGCAAAATGACCAATTTCCTGTAAAAAAACCCAACATATACATACGCATACATTTCAGCATGATGTATACCTGTTTTCTGGTGGGGAGAGTAGCGGTAGCTTAGTATGGCAGACACATGTAAACAAGACAACGCATTTCTCTCTGCATGTTGGTTCAGGTAGTAACAGTTTGTGTGTCCTGCAGATGTTAACAAGGTGTGTGGGAGCAGCTGAAGGAGGGAGGGTGGTCACGTGGTACTGAACAGACCTCTGATGATGTATAAACAGCAAATGCAGGGCAGCTTGCGACTGATACCTCCTCTCGCCCCGCCCCGCCAGCCACCACTACCTTCCACTACAAGCCTTTGATCTCCCATTGCTAACTGACCCCCGCACCCTCACTACCCCCCTACCCCCATCACTTATGACCCTCAATACCCACCTCACCACCCTGCCCCCTTACCACTTTTTTTTGTAGAGAGGAGGGGTGAAAGATTAGAGGTGGGGGAAGGAAGTTATAGTTCGGAATTGAAGAAATATAGGAGGGAGGAAGAGGGCGGGCTGGCGCCCACTAGCCTAGCACAGTGTGTTGATTTGTGTGTCATGAGTTAGTTTTGTCTGTCGGTACAGGCACTAGACATCCTACCCTATCCCATACATGGGTGTTTTAAGGGCCTTATTTCATATTTCGTTGTCTATTGGTACCGCTCTTACCTTCGCAAGCAGATGTCACGGGTTCGATTCCCGGGCCGGTGGATTGTTTTGGACTGCCTTTAGTCCCTGTTCACCCTAGCAGTAAAGTAGGTACCTGGTGTAAAATCGTTGCAATTCGTATTCAGGACAAGTTGTTGAAGCTTCCAATAACTTGATGACATAAAACCATTGACTCTTCAGGCTTCTATGTCCTTGATTCTTCAGGCTTCTTAGCCCTTAACTCATGAGACATAAAGGCAAGCATGAACTTAGCATGCTTCTGTTGGGCGCTGTAAGCTTCCTTTACCTTGCACAAAGATGTAGAATGCCCAATAAATAATAATAATAAAAAATAGTATATATTGCCTGGCCGTGTAGATCGGGGTGGTAATGGACCTTTTGAGTTGGTAACTTTTTGAGGAACCATGTATGGTTGTTGTCGTTATCTGTGGGAGTCTTTGAAGGAGTTCTTGCTCTGATCGTTCTATCTTTTGCCAGATTCTGCTGGCCAGGGTGTCCTTCTCTGGTTGGTGGGTTTATTCTCAGGTCTCTATGTATCTCGGCTGTGGTTCTGGTGAAGGGTATCTTTCACCTTTTGACGAATCTTAGGCTTCATTTTAGACCATCTGTAATTTAATATTTGAGTGGTGCTCATAGTATGAAAGTATTGCTGGGTAAGTTAAATCGGTGTGATAAATGATGTCACGGCGGAGTTATTATTTTTTCTCAGGAAGCGCTTTAAAACGTTATAGTTTTCTCACCTCTCTTCTCGCCCTTTCCTTCCTGGTGTGGACATGGTGGGAAGTAACCTGTTGTGGAGTGGATATACAGTATATGCAGGCCCAGGAGAGGTGCCTCTGCTTTGTATTCTATCTGGGCATTATTGTTTACTAATGGATGGGTTTCCTTCTGCATAAGGGTATCACTATCCTGACCCCTCACCACCTCCTGATCCCTCACCATCCCCTGACACCCTCCTACCCTCTGCCTCACCACCCCTTGACTCTTCACCCCCTGATCCCCACCCCTGACCCCCACCACCCCCACCCCCACCCCTGACCCCATCACCCCCTCCCCTCACCCCTCAGCCATGGAGTTAGTGTTACACCTCAATGTCTTGCTGTCACTCGATGACGTAACGTCTTCTTAACTGGGTTACTACCATTTATTGTTACGGTGTTTAATGTTACTTTCATCACAGTTAGCAGTCCGTGACCTCTGTGTGTGAGAGTACTGATGGGGGTGAGGGTATAAGAATGGGTGAGAGAGGAAAGGAGGAGGAGAAGGAGGAGGAGCAGGAGTGAGGGGAAGAGGAAGATGAGGAATGGGAGAAGAGAGCAGGAGGAGAGGAGGAGGGATGGAGGGAAAGGAAGGACAATAAGAGGAGGATGAGGGAAGACAATTAGGGGATGGAGGGAACAAGAAGGAGATAGGAAGGGAGGGGAGAAGGACATGGGGCAGGAGGAAGAGGAGAAAAAAGAAGAAGGAAGAAGAAGGAAGAGAAGATGGAGGAGGAGGATAAAGACAACAAAGAACACATCCAACATGACCAAGACTGACTGGTGACTCCATGCCCGGATGGGTCCGAACTAGCTCCATCATCATGTTGAGAGATTAGGAACCCAGAGGAGCCATTGAGGCGGTAGCCATGACCAGTGCCAGATGTAAATGTTACGGAGATGGCTGCTATTGGCCTGGATAGATAGATAGATAATAGATTTTACAGACAACCCACAGACAGAAACAGACAAATAGATAAGTAGATATATAGATGGGTAGATGGATATAGATAGATAGACCAAAGATATTCAGAAATCGTTACACCTACATTGATCCATAGCTTGACTGTGTGTGTGTGTGTGTGTGTGCATCATAGATTATAAGGGTTTTACACACACGACACACCAACCCCACACCACCCCACACCCCACCCACACCCTCACACCACCACCCACACCACCTCCACCCCAACACCACCCCACCCCACACCACCCCACCCCAACACCACCCCACCCACCACCACCCACCCACCCCACCCCACCACCACCCCACCCCACCACCCACCCCACCCCCACACCACCCCACCCCACACCACCCCACCCCCACACCACCCCACCCCCCACCACCCCACCCCTACACCACCCCACCCCACACCAATCCAACCTACACCACCCCACCCCTTACCACCCACCCACCCCTACACCACCCCACCCCTACACCACCCCACCCCCACAATTAATTCCCCACCCTACACCCCACACCTACTACCCCAAAACACAACACAGCACTGACCTAAAAAACAAAAGAAACCCTAGCGCAAATCCACAACACAGGAGAATAACAGTGCCTGATGACCCGAGGCTGGACAATGGGAGTTTAGCCAATGAACGACGGCCATAATGATGAGGTACTAATCTTAATGGATATGACCAATCAGCAGTTAACGGCGGCAGCAAGGCTGCACGTGGGATAACGACCAACCGTCACCGACCAACCGTCACAGGGAGGAGCGCCACTTTGAAAATTCAAATATCAAGTTTAAAATAACAGAAGACGTGCTACCATCTGTGTGTGACTTCATATTTCAAGTTGCAATGAATAAAGATTGTGGTATTAAGATTAAGAATTGTACTTATTGAAAAGAAAAAGTATATATTATAGGAAAAACACGTATTAAATATAATAACTTGTTGGTAGAATTATAACGGAACATCCAACGGGGTTACACCACTTAACCCTAGTATTATTTTTGCCCTCGCAGCTCATCTCTAAAATCCTTTTGATTCACCAAATAAGCCGCACAATAAATAATATTTGTTTTCATTATATGGTCAGCAAATCTGTTGGTTGAATGAGTTAATCCTAATGGTGTTAAAGAAAGAGAGGTGTGTGTGTGTGTGTGTGTGTGTGTGTGTGTGTGTGTGTGTGTGTGTGTATAATAATACAAATTAACGGTTTATTGAAAAATTGCAGCCGAAGGCTGAAAATACACATTGGACATAAATGACTTATTACATACAGGTTTAACAAAGCCTCTTCATAGAAAGGTAAAGGAACACACACAGAACACACAGATTAATGTAGGAGGAACAGCAACTGGTAGTAGCTCCTCCCAGATGGTGTTAGGAGAACTCACGTGGTGTGAAGTTCCCCAGATGTTGTTATGAGGACCTCATGCAGTAATTCCCGCAGATGGTGTTAGGAGGAACTCACGGTAGTAGTTTCAGATGTTGTTATGAGACCTGGTGTTGTACTCCCTCGCAGATGGTGTTACGAGGGGCCTCATGGTGTAGTAATTCCCTGCAGATGGTGTTATAGGACTCACGTGGTGTAGTACTCACAGATGGTGTTATGAGGGACCTCACGTAGTTAGTAATTACTCACAGATGTGTTATGAGGGGCCTCACGGGTGTAGTAACTCCTCACAGATGGTACAGAGGGACATGTGGTGTAGTAATTTCACAGATGGTGTAATGAGGACTTGACGTGGTGAAATTCTCACATATGGTGTTATGAGGGACATGTGGTGTAGTAATTCCTCACAGATGGTGTTATATGAGTGAGTCCCAGGCCTTCCTATCAGATGGACCAACACATCGGTGGTTGTTGTTGGGTCTGCAGAGATGTATCACTGGGTACATGGGACCTCACTGTGAAGAAGTGCACTGGTATGACTGTTATTGTTGAGTTGTTTCACTGACTTAGCACTGTTCACCACTGTTCACCTCTTGCTTAACACTGGTTCCGTTCTCTTTCCTTAAATGAAATTGTAACTTCTGGCTAGAACTTGTTGATTCCGGTGGGGAGGAGGGTTCAGGGAGGGGTTGGTATGGGCCATCTTGTCAGTTGACCTGGCTGCTCCTGGAGAGGAAAGTGTTAGGTACGTCTTGACCCTTCTGGTATCAAGGATGAGAGAGAGAGAGAGAGATGAGTTGTCGTACTAGGGTCTGCAGTACAAAGAATTTCCCCACACCTTAAATTGCAGTATAAATGTGGCATTACTGAATGGTAACATGTGTCACTTTCAAGTTGCAACACCATTAATTACAGTACACAAGTAGCCATTCCAATGTTTACAGCAACAAAGGCACAACAACAGACTTCACATTGGCTGCAGACAATGGACTACACCACCAAAGACTGCAAGACATGCTGACTACACCACCATGGGTTGCTGCTGTGGCTACTCAATCAAGAACAGCAACACCGATGATTGCAGGGTCAGTTACACCATAAAGAGCCACATAACAGCCTAGACCGATAAGAAACACAAACCCTCAAAATGCTAAGTTTCTCTTCTAGGGTACATGTTTGGAAGGTTTACCACAACGTCGACCCTCCCTGACCAATCTCGCAGGCGAGGGTCGACGGTAAACAAGTGATTGTCTACCAAAATTAACTCGAACCAGAAGTCCCTCAGGATGGCGACGAACCATCTGAGTTGTATTAATGTATTACCGGCGACGGACAATGAACGCAGGTGTAACGAGGCAGGAATAATACAGTATTGCATTGTGTCTGCCAGTTGGGTGGAAGGGCACTACTACCAACAGGGTTCGGTACAGGTGTTTCAATAATAAAACTAACTTTCGTAGAATCATAGCCTTAGCATAGGTGGTTTAAGTAATGGAAATAATAGACACAATTAATTTGTAAGCCACCAGCTTGTGCTCTACAACAACGACAAAATTCGTGTTTTGTGCATTATTACAAACCCTTTGTATTTACAAACCATCCACCTGCAGAGCCCAGTAAAGATGGTTCATGTAGAAGTTACTCACTGTATTGTTCGAAATGTCAACTGCCAGGGATCAATACAGCAATTACAGTAACAATTAAACGATTGGATGCTGAATTACGTTCAAAGAGTTGAAACATGGGAATGGAGCATAGTATTCATTAGCCATCACGTAAATGGAATTTTATTCCATCGAAGTTGTTAACAAACATACTGCCGCTAGTAAATGAGTCACTGAATGTTGAGTTCAAATAAGTCTGAATAGTGAGTGAATCATCAAACACAGAGTCGCGTTTTGGGGGTTCCAGACATGATCAGATATACGAGATACTGAAGTGTGTTATTGTATATAATGTCCGTATAACATCATAATTATGGACTTACCTTTATCTGGATGTTACCCGATTGTGAACCTCCTCTTGTCTCCTGTTTTGTAACCCTATGTCTGTCATAAATCTTTCTTAATTATTCATGAGGATGCACACACACACACACACACACACACACACCACACACATACACACACACACACAGGACACACACACACACACACACACACAAGGACCTGAGTACATTTTATCGTCCATCCCACCTTGTTGATCCAAGAGGCCCTCCCAGCCCCTGCCCCGGCCTCCCCAAGTCCCAAGGATGGATGTCTTCTTCTAGCGCTTTCTTATGTACACATTGAGAAGTGACTTGGGTTCCCACAGTCCCCACACACACTCTTGCATCCCTCATGGCACAATCCCCATCCCCACACACTCTCCCCTCTCTAGCACCTTCCCGTCCAAAGTCCTCCACATCCCCAGCACCTCTCCACCTAAACCTCCTCATCCCTTCCTCCTTATATCTTCCAATGGCCACCTCTTCTCTTGGTAATTCAGAGTCTTCTGCACCGAGACCTCCCCGCCCATATCCTCGCCTGCACCTACCTGTCGGATCCTCACTCACACCTCCCAGCCCATCCCTCACATTCCTGAACCTCCCTGCACCTCCTCGCCCATCCTCATCCTCGCACCTCCCCATCCAACCTCACCTCCCTGCACCTCCCCGCCATCCTCATATCCCTGCACCTCCCATCTCACCCTGCCCTCTTTGACATTTTTTCCGTTGATCCGTGTCTTGGTCTCTGCAATTCCCCAGTTGGGTAACAATCATGTCTGGGTCTGTTCCTCCCCTGGTGTTCAAGTGTCTCCTGTCTCTCTCCTCAGCACACCTCCTCCCCAGTGCCACCCCTCCCCTGCATACCTCCTCCCACACACCTCCTCACACTCTCCCCAGCACACCTCTCCTTCCCAGTACACCTCCCTCCCTAATACCTCCTCCCCAGCACACCTCCTTCTCCCCAGTCCCCCCTCTCCCCACCCCACACTCTCCCCACCCCCTCCCCCCACCACATCTTACCTCCAGCCCCTCCCCACCACATCTCTTTCTCCCCAGTCCCTCCCACCACCACATCTTCCACCCCAGCTTTCTCTCCACCACATCACCTCCCCAGTCCCTCCTCTCCACCACACACTTCTGCTCCCAAGTCCTCTCACACCATGCTTCCCCTCAATCCCTCTCTCCCACCATTCACCCCCACCATGCCCCCTCCCTCACTCCCTTTGCCCTCTTCTTGCCCTTCCTTTCCCTCACCTCCCATGCCCCCTTCTCTGCCCTCTCTCCCTCACGCCTCCTCCTCACCACACACTTTCCTCTCCTCACCTCCCTCTCACACCTCCTGCTGCCCTCCTTTTCTACTGCTACTCTCTCCTCATATCTCCTCATCACCCTCAATTTTCCTCATCACCTCACTCTCCTCCTGTCCTCATCTCCCTTTCTCCCCCTCACCCCCTTCTCTCCTCACCCTCTCACCTCCTACACTTTCTTTTGTCCTGAGAAATTGACTCTTCACTGTGTCTTTGTCTCTACCTTCCTTTCATCCTTTCTTGACAGTCGTCGTGTTTTGAATTCAGTTGCTGTGTGTGTGTGTGTGTGTGTGTGTGTGTGTGTGTGTGTGTGTCTCTCTTTCACCCACCAGAAAAAAAGGCAAGAAGAAGAACAAGAAATAGATGATGATGATGACAATAAAGGTGATCTGTCACCACTGTCAGTCAACCATAACAGTAACCGAAACGAAGGCTACCGAT